AATGACTATCATGCCCACTTCCGGTTCCGCAATGGCAGAGAGGGTGAAAATCCTTGGAGCTCTGGAGAGATTTCACTGCAATCAAGGTTTGAGGAGACTTCCAAGGTTTGGAAAATCTCTGACAACCTCCTGGAAAAAGGGGGTTTGAATTTGTCTTTCTATCATTTTCCAACCATGGGGGAAGAGGTGTCAGACTGCAGCCATCAGCCTTCTTATGCAGCTCGCTAAACCCCAGCAATTCCCTGCTGCAAAGTTTTGAAAGTAAAAAAAAAATGACTATCATGCCAAATGTTACAAGAAGCACAAATATTTGTTGAAGTGTAATTAAAAGGTTCTGCATGCAGTAACAGCAAACAACCCCGTCTCAGCAGATGCTCCCCATCTCCAGTTTCAGGAGCAGACAAACGCCGATTGTCTTTGAAGCAGAAAAATGACTTTATTCAAAAGAATATAATACAGGAACTCTTCTCAAACTTTTCTGCCAGCAACTCCCAAACAGTTGAAGCCTTCTTGCTTGCAAAAGCTTTATCCTTCTGCTTCAGGAACTTTGCAGCTTTTTTTTACACTCCGCTAACACAGACTCTCCAAACCTCCAATATCAACCTTCAATCAACATTGAAGTTTTGTATTCCTTTAGTACTTTTACAACTACTTCACCCTGACTGCAAATTATTCAAGATTAACCAAGTGGATTGATTGTCATTACTTACAGCATACTTGGGTCTGATTCTTACATCTACTTACATTCACTTAAGAAATGACATACTTAAAATTTCCAACAATACTGCATATTCATTAAATATATATCATATTAATCATTATTTAATAATGTACAATTTAGCAAGAGATATAAAGTGGATGGGATTTGTTTAGTAGACAGCATTGGACAAGGTTTTGCATGTGAACTCTTGCTCTGAGCCGTCCAGTGATGCAAATAAAGAACATCTGTAGTGTTGGCACCTGTGAGTCCCTGGCCTTTACTTTCCCACTTCCCTTCAGTAGATATCGCCTCTGTGACTTTGACAAAAGAGAAGGCATTAGCTAATGCTACCTCTTCAAGTAACTCCCTTTGGAAAGCAGTTAACCTCCAGTCTTCCATCTCACCACTCATGTTTGTGTGCCGATACTGCTTCTTTCCACTTACAGTTCAAACCTACCCCATTACCTGCTTAATAAAGTGGGAGAAAAGATAATCACCAGTCATTATGATCATCAGCTTGTGGGGATCTGTAAATACATTGCTTTTGGCCATCCTAGGGCTTGTGCCCTGAGTGAGATTGAAAGTTTAACATCAGCCTTGTCCTGATGGCATTTAATTTATTTTTCTTTGATGAGCAGGCAGTCTTTCCCAAGTGAGGCTTTTGTCTTCTACCTACCCATTATATCTATAGTCACACAGTTCTGCTTGCCTTTTTACACCTGCTTTCCTAAAGGCAGATGCTTCAACATGGATCGGATTGTCTATCTTATCTATTTCCCAAGTTGTGTATATAATAACACATTTTGGTGCTTCCAATATTAGTCTCATCCCTAGGTATATTTGACCTAATTCCAAAAATGGTACCAGTTTACCCCTATGAGCTTTAGTTTTTCAGATTCATAATATATGCCATATAACATAAATTATTGCCAAATACTTGCCCATAGAAAACCATGATAACCATAGAAACTAAAGCTGATGTGGTCTATCCAATGCAATTTTCTGAATAAGCATCCCAAATAGCCCTAAGAACAGATGTAAAAAGCAAGACTTTTTGTTGTTGTTGGACTGTGTTATATTTAATTAGATTTTGCATTTTCCTCTAAATATGGGACTCAAAGTGCCTTACAATTTAGAAGGCTGATACAGTTCAAAGCATAAAAAGTAAACATTTTAAAAGAAGAAAACTGATATCGAGCTAGAATTTGGAGGCTCCTGCCCAGGAGAGAAGAGCCCTTAGACCCACCAAAGAGAGTCCGAAACCCTTGGCAAGTGAAAGAGGAGAAAGGCCCAGAATTTTCCCTGATTTTTCCCAAATAAATCTCACCAAGGTTGAAGAAAAGCCATCGAGGTTTATTTAGCGATCCAGCTGAAAAGGATGCAGAGCTGCAATCATTCGCCAGCAGAGCATAAAGAAATACATTTAATACAGCCATATTTATAGTAAATTCAAAGTTGCACAGTTCAAACTTCCCGCCCCAGCCTCCCTCCACCGTGATTAGACAATGGGCAAACAGCTGGGAGGCGGCCCTCCCGCCCCCGGCGCCTCTGGAGCAATCAGGAAGCTCCAGCGGTCCATAGGATCCAATGGGGAGGCTCCTGCTGCCTAGCGGTGACAGCAAGTCAGGAGAGAGGGAGGCGGGATGATAGAACACAAAGGAATCTGTGGATGAGTTCTGAAAAAATGGCATGTGGCCTGCGAGACAAAAAAGGAAGTCTCAAACAGGACTGATCTATTGTGCTCATGAGTGTTGTAAATCAGCATGTGTAAAAAATATCCAGATCCTTCCTGGCTGTGAGACAGGAGAACAATGAGGGCAGCCTGGGGTTAATGCTATCAATGAGAAGTTAGTTAAATCAAACAGTGTGAAGGTGGGGTCTTTTTGAGGGTCCCCTGACCTCCAGGTAGAAAAATGATTAGGGGTCTGCCAGGGGGCAAACAGCATTGTTGGGCAATCCTCCGAGAACAAAGCCGCCTGCCAGTTTATTTTTCATGCAAAGGAAATTCTGGATTAAAGTTCTTTAGTGAATGCCTGGGCTCTGCAGTTTCCTGGGGGGATTTCTTCACAAGGAGAAGGGGGGAAAGGTCAAATGGGGGGGGGACATGCTCGGCTTCAAAACTACAGTATTAAAACAAATTGTGTTTGCATAAAATAATAAAATGCAATCAAAAAAGATAAAAAGTTTTTAGTTCGGCTAAAACTATTGAGCACCCACAATTTAAAATCTTCTTATTAAAAAGCCTATCTAAATAAAATATTATTGTTTGCCAGTGGAAAGACAACATTTAGGAGACAGGTTAGCCTCCCATGGAAAGGAGTTGCAGGGTTTAGGGGCAGACACTGAAAAGGCCTGCCATACTTCTGATGGTGGTGGGACTGAAAGAAATGTCTATTCTGATGATATTAGAGCTCAGTCTGGCTCATAGATGGATGCACTATTTGCCAAATAGCCTGAGCCTCAGACTGCATCTACACTGTCATATAATGTAGTTTGAAACTGCATTATATGATTAGTGTAGACTCATATGATACAGATCAGTGCAGTTAATCTACATTATATTATTCTACACTGACCATATAATGCAGTTTGGAACTGCATTATATGATAGTGTAGACTGGACAATTGTAATAATCATACCTGGAAACAAACTGGCAACCAGTGGAGTTGTTTCAACCATAGATGTAATATGGTCTCTATAATCTACCACAGCTATATGACAGATTAATCAATGAATTCTGACTTGTTGATTACAAAAAGAGAATAACACCTTCTTGAAGTTCTATTAACAGCTGCCCCTTTTAATGGATGGACTTGATGCTGATATTGACAGGTGCAGTCAAATGAATAGTATGGCAGATTTTTACTGCTTCCACACATCCTTGAGTTTAAATGATGTGTCTAGAGGAAATGCCTGTATATCCCAGTTCTATGTGTACAGCTATGTGTATCACTCTAACCTACATATTTAGGTTAAAAAATATAAGTGATCTATCTAAATTAGGCATGTACAAAATGGAACAACCAAGAGAGACCAGAGTACTATCAAATACTCCTTAGATACTCCAGAAGACCACATTCTTTTTATTTCTAGTGTGACAGTACTAGTAATACAAGTGCTAAAGCTCATTTCAAAATTAGATCCTGCATTGTTTGGAAATAACATCTTGCAGACCCTAAGACAGAAACCTATACAGTAGGTTAAGGAGGTTTTAGACTGACCTTGGGAGGCTTCTGAGATTTACAAAATGCAAACAGAAAAGTATTAGGTAAGTTTTGATTTTTAAGTTTTTGGCGCAAGCTATGCCCACATGTCGGATATTGCCTTGCAAATACAAATTTGACAAATTTAATACAACTTACGGAACTAGCAAAAAAATTGCACACCACTAATGTTTACCCAGACAAGTTAAGTTCAGTGGTAGAAATAACAGTCTACCACATATATTCACAGTATACTATTCCAGACAGTAAAATGAGAACCATTTGGAGGAAATGGCAGTGAACCAGGTTTTGGCTAAACTTTAGAGGGAAACTCCAGCACCATGATCTGTTCATCAGTAGAAAAGAGCCAACTCCCCCAGGAAGGTGCTGAGGGAGTATATGCAATGAGTGAATGACCATTTATCATGGACAGTGCTGTAAAATTTTGCCTTGAAGATTCTGATCAAGTGGCCTTCGTAGATTTTATTATTTCACTCATGTCTTTCATGTGCTGGACTTCCATATTTTGAGGAAATGTCAATAAATAGGATGTAAATCTGTTACCTGTGTTTTAATGTGAGCACTAATATACAAGTACAGGCAGTACGCAAGTTATGAACAAGATAGGTTCTGTAGGTTTCTTCTTAAGTTGAATTTATATGTAAGTCAGAATAGATACATTTTTAAGTGTAACTCCAGCCATTTTTTTTATCTTTAGCATAGGGAAGGGTGGACTCTGTTTTGTTATCTGTGCCTCTGTTCAGTAGATTTCACCTCACTTTCTGTCCCTGTGATCACTGGAGTTTTAAAAAATGGGCTTGTTGTGGAAACAAGGATTGGTGAGAAAGCTTCAGTTGAGACACCTTTTACCCATTATTACTCTTTCAGGAGTGATTTTCTCTTCCTCGGGGTAGATTTCACTCACTTCCTGTGGTCTCACCCCTGTTCTTGACTGTGAGTCATTTGTAAATCAGATATTTGTGACTTGGGGACTTCCTGTAGTGGATAACAGTTATAGTTAGCACAAAAACCAACTGTGTTTCTTTTGGTAGAGGCTTCCCTTAGCAAAATTACATAGGCTTCTTTCTCTTTACAGGTCTTCCAAGGGAACACCAATGCTGACAGTGTTGTCCAGCACAAGTTTCTGCATTCAGTTAAGGCTCGGTTTGTGCGCTTTATTCCTCTGAAATGGAATCCCAGTGGAAATATAGGCCTACGGGTAGAAGTTTTTGGGTGTTCATACAGTAAGTATTTGACATAATATATCATAAGCTACTTAATTTTTGGAACTTGCCAGGAAATCACCTTTGTTGTAAGTCTATTGTGAAAAGATACAAATTAGTTTTACCAGTCACTGCAACTTAAATGGGATTTTGTAGTCAGTCCTAGATTTACTTAAGAACCACTTCTATTTACTGCTAGCTTAGGTACCTGGTGATGTTCTAGGAACAATTACAGAGGCAACATCACCCTCAATATCAGAGGCACATACTTGCTCTTCTTCCAATATGATATATGGTGTCATATGCCAACAATGCCCCTTTATGCTGGATCAATAGGACAGTCTTTACTTAAGTGGATTAATGGTCACAACTCTGACATTAGAAGCACCAATACCCCCCAAAACTAGGTGCAGAACACCTCAATTTTCTTTGATTTAAAGCAGGCTTGAACAACCTGTGGCCCTTCGTCTGTTTTGGCCTTCAACTCCCAGAATTGAAGGCCATTGGACAAGCCAGCTAAGGCTTCTGAGAGTTGGAGGCCAAAACAACTGGTGAGCCACAGGTTGTGCAGGCTTCATTTAGACTGAAGGATTTACTGATCACGGTCCTTGAATAAGGAACTTACAAAGGACGACTAGAAAAAGAAACAGCTAAATTTAATTATATTCACAAATTCTGATGCATTAACAAAGAAAGACAATGGCTTCATGATGCATTACATATATTAATACAAAAGGTCTTGCCACTGTTCAAAAAGAGTTTTAAATGCAGGGAAACTGACAGTTGGTAAGCAGAATTGTGATTTTCACATATCAACACTAAGTGGCCACTATAAAGAACTGAAATATCTGTATCATATCATCCTGTCCTTTGAAAAGTTAAGGCAATTGACATGATTTGCATATTTGTGGATCCTAGTACATTTTGCCCACTTCTGTATGCATGTGTCTTCAACCCACGTGTTGACCTTTAGTAACCTAAGAGATTTCTTAGGGGTTTTTTAAGACAAGGAAAACTCAACTGCAGTCTTGCCAGTTCCTTGTTTTGAAATATAACCTACAATATCTGGCATTCATTGGCAGCCTCCCATCTGAATACTAATCAGGTAGTGGTGTCACTAGGGTGTGTATGGAGAGAGTGGGCCACACCAGGTCGCTTTATCTGAAGAGTGACACCAATAGTATGGGTTGGGAGAGAGTTGGGCAAGACAGGTGGGAAGGCAGCCAAGTTTGGCTGGATTTCAAACCACTTTTGCCTTTCGCCTTTACATGTTCTCAGATGAGATCAACTCTTCCCTCGCCATCTTTTTGCACACAATGTTTGCCCACTTTATCTCCTTTCCTTCTACATTGGCTACTTTTCTTTAAACAGATATTTTAAAACCCCATTCTCTTCAGGTTCACTTTTCAGCCAATCTGCCCCTCCCCACCATACATTTGACTGCTCCCCCTGAAGCTATTTATTTATTATTATTATTTATTACTTGCACTTATTAACCGCCGCTCTCAGCCCTATGGGCGACTCGCGGCGGTGTACAAAACATAGAAAAGACAATTTACAATAGATCAAGACAGCACAACAACACTCTACTACTACACAACATCTACTTATACTAAAAATCCGCTTCGCCTTATCATGTGGTCATAATCAATCGCATAGTCGTAGTTCATTCCGGTCGTCGTTCCAATAACATAGCACTCAGTTGAAGGCCATCTCGAAGAGCCAAGTTTTCAGGCCCTTACGAAAGGCCATGAGAGAGGGCGCCTGTCTAACTTCCGCAGGGAGGGAGTTCCACAGCCGTGGGGCCACCACCGAAAAGGCCCGTTCTCTCGTTCCCGCCAGACGTGCCTGTGAGGCAGGCGGGACCGAGAGAAGGGCCCCCCCGGATGATCTCAAGGTCCTCGTGGGCTCGTAGGCCGAGATGCGGTCAGAAAGGTATTTTGGGCCGGAACCGTTTAGGGCTTTGTAGGATAACACCAGCACCTTAAATTGGGCCCGGTAGCAGATCGGCAGCCAGTGGAGCTGGGACAACAAGGGCGTTGTATGCTCCCTGCGTCCTGCTCCTGTTAACAACATGGCTGCCGCGCGCTGGACTAGCTGAAGCTTCCGGGCCGTCTTCAAGGGCAGCCCCACGTAGAGAGCGTTGCAGTAGTCAAGGCGGGATGTGACCAAAGCGTGTACCACCGTGGCCAAGTCAGACTTCCCAAGGTACGGGCGCAGCTGGCGCACGAGCCTAAGCTGTGCAAATGCTCCCCTGGTCACCGCCGAAACCTGGGGATCCAGGCTCAGCGATGAATCCAGGGTCACACCCAAGCTGCGAACCTGCGCCTTCAAGGGGAGTGCGACCCCGTCCAGCACAGGCTGTAACCCTATACCCTGTTCGGCCTTGCGACTGACCAGGAGTACCTCTGTCTTGTCTGGATTTAATTTCAGTTTGTTCGCCCTCATCCAGACCGTTACAGCGGCCAGGCACCGGTTCAGGACTTCGACAGCCTCCTTAGTAGCAGGTGGAAAGGAGTGACAGAGCTGGACATCATCTGCGTACAGATGACACCGCACCCCGAAACTCCGGATGATCTCACCCAGCGGCTTCATGTAGATGTTAAACAGCATGGGGGACAGTATAGAGCCCTGAGGAACCCCACAGGTCAAAGGCTGTGGTGTTGAACAGGAGTCCCCCAATAACACCTTCTGAGTACGACCCTCCAGAAATGACTGGAGCCACTGCAGATCAGTGCCCCCAAGACCCATCTCCGCAAGGCGTCCCAGAAGGATACCGTGGTCGACGGTATCGAAGGCCGCTGAGAGGTCCAGGAGCACCAACAGGGACACACTCCCCCTGTCTAGCTCCCGGCGCAGATCATCCACTAAGGCGACCAAGACCATCTTGGTTCCATGTCCCAGTCTGAAACCAGACTGTGCCGGATCCAGATAATCCGTGTCTCTCAAGAATACATGGAGTTGTGAGGCCACCACGCTTTCCATGACTTTGCCCAAAAAGGGAAGATTGGAAACAGGCCGAAAGTTGTCGAATTTGGTGGGGTCCAATGATGGTTTCTTCAACAGCGGCTTTATAATAGCCTGTTTTAGGCTCGCTGGAATCTTGCCTTCCCGAAGGGAGGCATTAACCACCACCGTTACCCACTCGGCCAATCCCCCTCTGGCCTCCTTCAGAAGCCAGGATGGGCAGGGGTCTAGGATGGACGTGGTAGGCCTCATTCCTCCAAGTATCTTGTCCACATCCTCGGGCTTCACAAATTGAAAAGAATCCATCAAAATAGGACAAGCAGGTGCTTGTGTCACATCCACAGAGACTGCATTTAAAGTGGTGTCCAGCCCAGAGCGGATCAAAGCGACTTTGTCCGCAAAGAACCGAGCAAATGCTTCACAGCGCGTGGCCGAATTGTCAGGGCTCCCACCTGTGGTAGGGGGAGTTAAAAGGCCTCTGACAATTCGAAACAACTCCGCTGGACGGTTTTTTGCGGACGCAATAGTAGCCGCAAAGAAAGTTTTCTTTGCGGCTTTTATTGCCGCGGCATATGCCCTTAGAAAGGACACAAACCGTGCTCGATTTGGCTCGCTTGGGTCTGAGCGCCACACGCTCTCTAGTTCCCTCTTCCTTCGCTTCATCACTGCCAGCTCCTCAGTAAACCAAGGAGCTGGTTTAGCTCGGCTACTTGAGAGGGGACGTTCCGGAGCGATCATGTCAATTGCCCTGGTCATCTCCCCGTTCCAGAGAGCGACCAAGGCCTCGACATGGTCACCTACCGAGGTGGCGGGAAATCCCCAAGAGCCGTCAGGAATCCATTCGGATCCATAAGCCTCCTGGGGCGGACCATCTTAATGGGTCCTCCACCTTTGCGGAGGTTGGGGGGCGCAGTGAGCCTAAATCTATAATGGCTTTTGACTCTAACAGCTGCTTTTTCACACTGTATGCCAAGACACATGCTTTTGTGTGGCATGCTTTGATTTGTGAAGGTAAATATAGGCTTAATCTACCATTCTGATTGCCGGGAGACATATTTATTGCTACTGAATAGGCTAACTATACATGCACACATATTCACAATCTCAGAATGCAGGAGGGGCAAGGCATTTTAGCAACAATATTGTAGTCTGGTTTGGTATAGAAAGAGGTCCATAGTGGTGACACACTGGATGACACTAATACCAATGTAATTCCATGGCTGACATGATTAGCTTGCAAGATCAAACAAGATATGCTGCATAGTAACCTATATTACTTATTATGTTGCTCTTTTTCTGTTACATTTTCATGACTTTTCTGTTACTTTTCATTACTATCCATAGATATATCTGATGGGAAGAAATCTTAGGAATTATTTTAAAAAAAACCCACATCTTTACATATTTTGTTTTTGAGGCCTCTGAGAATGCCCCAAAAGTTACCAAACAATAACCTACAAATGTTACTCCTTATAGATATATCATCCCCAGTCATTGCATTAGTTTTGAAATAGTGCATTGTATTTCTTCGTACAGTGGCCCTTATTTCTCATGCCAGTAAGGTAATGTTCAAGATCCTGAAAGGAAGACTCCAGCAATACATGGAGTTGCCAGATGTACAAGCTGGGTTTAGAAAAGGCAGAGGAATAAGAGACCAAATTGCCAATATCCGCTGGATAATGGAGAAAGGCAGGAAGTTTCAGAAAAAAATCTATTTCTGTTTTATTGACTATTCTAAAGCCTTTGACTGTGTGGATCATAATAAATTGTGACAAATTCTTGATGGTATGGGCATACCAAATCTCCTTGTCTTTCTCCTGAGGAATCTGTATTAGGACCAAGTAGCAACAGTAAGAACTGACCGTAGAACAACAGACTGGTTCAAGATTGGGAAAGGCATATGGCAGGGTTGTATACTCTCACCCAACCTATTCAACTTGTATGCAGAACACATCATGCGATGTGCAGCGCTTGACGAATTCAAGGCTGGGGTAAAAATTGCTGGAAGAAATATTAAGAACCTTAGATATTCAGATGATACCACTTTGATGGCT